TGGGGCACTTTAATTTTGACCCCTTTTAATACGGGGGACAACAATTACGAGCTTCATTAAGCTCAAGCCCTTATGATACAGAACACTTTAATTTTGACCCCTTTTAATACGGGGGACGACAATTACGAGCTTCATTCAGCTCGGACCCTTATAGTATCGGGTACTTTAATTTTGGCCCATTTTAATACGGGGGACGATAATTACGAGCTTCATTCAGCTCAAGCCCTTATAATACGGGGCACTTTAATTTCGACACCTTTTAATACGGGGGACGATAATTACAAGATTCATTCAGCTAGGGCCCTTATAATACTAGTCACTTTAATTTTGACCCCTTTTTAATATGGAGGACGATAATGACGAGCTTCATTTAGGTTGGGCCCGTTAAAAAATGAGTAGGTTCTCTTGAGCTTCGTGATCTGATCTCTTTAATAAGGGAGACTGATTTTCCTTAGCTTCGTGAGCTCATCTCTTTAATAACGGAGGTTAGTTTTCCTGAGCTTTATGTTGCATATAGTCTCTATAGGATTTAAAATCCTACATTAGGTGCCCTCATTCCCAAGCTTGCTTGTTATGCGCAAGTAACGCCAAACTTTCTATATTTTCTCTTATTTTCCAAATTAGCAAAGCAATAACAGAGAAACAGATCTATAATGTGAACATATTAATAAGCGGTTGTACTAGAGTAATCACATTAGTATGTCAATTGAAATAGGACTAATTATTGTAAATGCTATAGAAGACGGGCAAAAATAAAGCTTGCACGATATATCAATTTTATTTATTTATTTATTTTTAAAAAACAACCATGACAATTTGATATGTCCACTTATCAAGAAAAAAAGGAAGAAAATATACATTACTCATATTACTGTAACAATATTTACTCTTCTAAACACATATTTTCATTCTAATTAGAATGTGATAGGAAATACCTTCAATGGTGTGTATAATGATTTGCAATTGCAGATCTTGATGTTCCACTGAGATTGCTTGGAAGTCCTGAGTTAGGACATGGCCAACAAACTTCAAAGTAAACAAACAAATAGAGATCTCTCACAACTTTTTTCAGAGGTGCAACCTAAAAATTTCAGTAACTTATCAAACCAAGAAAAAGTTTTAATACCACGATAGAATTCTGGGTCTTCCAAAATCTAAAGATGTTAAGGAATGAACCCAACAATATAATTGATCCTAATCAAATTTGCAGATCAAAAAAATGTTAAATCGTTTCAACACTTAATTTTTTTATCGACCCTATTATTATTTCATTGATTTTATTTTCTTTTTCGGTAAAGGAAATCAATCACACTTAAAGCAAAAGAGTTACTTGTCCTCTTGAGCAAGAATGTTTTTTTTTTTTTTTTTTTGAATGGTAGAGCAAGAATGTTGTCTTGTTCATTTTAGGGATAGAAGAAAGTAGTGAAACATAATGCATTTCTTCTGACAAGTTGCTGATCTTTTAAATGTGTTGCCTAAAGTTACTCTAAATTCAATGTTATTGAGAAATGTAGCTTTTTCTAATGGCCATTTAATCATCAATGTTGATGTCAACAAAGTACTGCATAACTAGTTGCAAAAATTGCTTCTTCATAAGAAAACCATGACTCGAGATCTATGTTTTGCCAGAGTTTCAACACGAGGTTGAAATTTTTGACTAAAGGCCACATATAAATAGGACAGTGCACTAAAAGTATTGATTGAATTATTAATCATGTAGTGTCAATCGAAAGAATGATAAGCATTTCACAACCTAATCAACATTTATAGCTCTTTCTTGTAAATAAATTATAGTTCCCAAATGGCCAAATGATAAGAGCACCTATGGACCAGAATTAGCTAATTGCATGGCTCAATGTAGCAATCATTAAGAGTAAATATATAAGAAGCTGTGGGCTCTGAGATAGCAACATAACTGAGCTTTGGAGCTGTGAGATATGGAATTTTTCTACTTTAATGAATATTTTAAAAGGTTATATAACCAAACCATCGCAACTATTGTTGACAATTTCCAACAATATTAGGGGTAAAAAAAGAGATTGAGGAAAGAAACCATGCATGTAATTTATTAAAAACATGTATGAAAATCACAACGACAGATTCAATAAGAAATTTCATGGCAACTCAATTGTTGGCTACGTAAATTTTTGCATTTTGTTTTCATAGGCTCAGCGAAAACAGGGAGAGAAGAAAAAACATTCAAAATTTTGCATTGCCATTTAGACACAAACATTGTCAAGTTGACAAAATACTACCAGCGAATCTTTGGATCTAGTACAAAAAATGGGTCGTTGAACATGCAATTAATGAGTTTGCTGGAACTCAAAACAGATTAGGGCAAAATGTGAAACCGATCTATCGCACCGCTTCCCTTTTGTGAAGATTGACCATTTTCTAGATCAGTTTTAGAAAATGGCTACTCTTGAATGGGTAGAAATTGGTGTTATTGATATAAATTTATGGTTAAAGAATCTTTTTGAAAAATTAGAAAGCAAACTAACGGTATATATTTTTGAATTTTCGGATTCAAAAGCTTTGCTTAATAGACAATGGAGATGGTTGGATTAAATTTAAATAGCATCCATACATTAATTAATTAAATTTAAATAGCATGCATAATTGCATACCTCCATGTCCTTGTGCATGGTGTCTATCTCATCAATGTTGAGGGAATTTACAACCCCAGTTTCGGAATACTACTCCGTTATACAAGTTATATCCATTGCCTCTTTCTTTCTTCTTTCAAGTCAACTGATTTAATTCCATGGCAATTCTAGTCCATAGACTTATCTTTATATAATACCAGGAATGGGTCCTTCAGACCAAATTAAGGCTTCATTTTGTATTCCTTCTTTGTAAAGGAATCAGTCAATAGGGGAAATTGGCGCTGGTCGGATGCACTCGGAAGGTCAAGTTAATACTTAACGATTGAATATCCTATAAATGATTAACTATGGAATTTATAGCGTACCTTTCAAGTTGCCCGACTTTTACTTTATAATAGAATTAACAATAGTCGTATCCATCTAGGAAATTGATTCCCTTTACTCATTCACCAAGGATTGGGAGAGTTACTCCACATAGAAGTCGTTGCTATCTCATTTACCTGTAGTCTATCCACATTTCTTAGGCTTTAATGTTGATTAGACTTTAATATTCCTTATCAGTATTTATGTTGTATTAGGTATTTTTAACATTTATAATTTTAAATTAAATTTTCTAGATTTATGACTTTTTGATATTAATGAAAGCAAGTGTCTGAGTGGTTAGGTTACTCCCTATGCTTGAGAGTTCGTGTTCAAATCATCTACCATTTCCTCTAATCAATAACTCCTAAAATTCTTGCCATAAAAAAAATAAAAAATAAAATAAAAAATTTAAAGAATATTATGTACATTTTGTAAAAAATATATTGTAGTACTAAACATAGTTATTATTTTATGTTTTTAAATTTGTGACAACAAGTGTTAATAAACATCATTTTTATTTTCTATTTTCATTCAACAAAGCAAAACCATGTTTCTGCTTTCTTAAGATTGTAAAAACAGAAAACGAAAACGTTACTAAATGCACCATAGTCTTTTGTTTTTTTGGTTTTTTCATTTTTGGCCTTTCTCTCTCCTCTATATATGAACAGCCACCACCAGCCACAATCCTTTCTTCTTCTTTTTCCCCTCTCTCCGTCTCTCCCCTAAATCAAAAATTTTTTTTTTTTTGGCCTCTCTCTCTCTCCTTTATATGAACAACCAGCACCATCCTCCACAATCACCGCCACAATCTCCACCCCAGCACAACCCATTATCCATAACCTTCACTCAGACCTTAAGAGGGTTCAAGGTTTAATTTTCTAGCGAAGGTTGCTATTGGTGAGGTGATTAATTTGGCTTTGGAGAGATTGGGTTTTCTGGGTTTTGCAAAGGTAGAGAGGTTAGAGAGAGGAAGAAAAGAGAGTGCAGAGGGGATGAGAGAGGGAGATGATCAGGTATGAGTGCAAGCAAAACAAAAAAGTCAGCAGCCTATTAGCTGTTGACACGTATGCGAGTGTGGAGCGACAGTCGCACCTGTGAGTGTCGCTAGCACTCCTCAAGAATAATTTGTTCGTACAAAACTGGAAAGTATAAAACAATTCAGAAATGCGTTTGGAAATTATTATCCAAAACTTAGTTTGAAAAAGGCGGCCTGAATTCAAAACTTCCATTGCAACTTTCTAAAATTGTTTTTGTTACCAGAATTTTCAAAAGTATTTTACCAACAGTTCCAATATTTTTCACTTTTTCTTTCCTCTATCTTTGAATATTCAAATACAATGTAAAAGTCATACAAGGATATAAATTATTATTATTATTATTATTATTATTTTTATTTTCCCTTTGTCCTATCTTCATAATCGATTTCTTTTGGTGAGATGAATATCGTGAAAAGTAAATAAATTGTTTTGGAAAGTGTATTTGTATAGTACAAAATATATATATTAAACATGCAGTGACCTAGCGATATCAGGTCTCTACTTTTCAAAGGAAGATCAAGGGTTCAAGCTTCCTTGGAGGCATGTGTGTGTGAGTATCAACTATGGAAAAAAAAAAAAAATAGTACAAAATATAACTCACAATTATTGGCCACTATATAAAGTAAAAAAAGAGGTAATAATTATAATACTCTAAAAATAAGGAACTTCCAACCAAACTAGGTATGTTAATAAGCGTTGAAACACGGAGAAAGACTTCCTTGCACCTTTAATATTTTGTTATGCGCACCATCAAACAATTGTATCCTATCACACAAGTAAAAATACTTTATTTTAGTAAATCTTATCACTATGTATCAACATCTAATCAGTTGGTGATACCAAATCACCATCCAATTAAGTTTTCTCCGAAAAACGGTTTCAAGTATCATAGTCACTTTATATAAATAATGCCAGATGTTATATTTGTATCTAATCCATCCATTCCAGCATTCCTGTTAGAACCACAATGGATCTCAAACTCAAAACTCAACACTCAACACAGAAAGGTTAGCTTCTTGTTTTATTTGCATTTCTGAATAGTTAAAAAAAATCAAAATTTTTCAGTAGTCATGTACAAAAAAACTCTACACCCTATTCCTATTTCAAAGATTATATTCTAATGGCCTCACAATAAATTTCAAAAGAGTATATATATATATATATATATATAAAATACACCTGTCTATAAATATGGATACAGTTGTCATGGTTTCAACAATACAAGTTAGGTACTGGGGCAGATCTGGAAATTGCATTATCCAGTGTTTCCCCCCCTACTTTGCTGGTGCAGTGACATATAATGGCAAGATTGGGCATCACCACGGTGGATGGTCATCTGCAGGAGTCTGGGGCGGTAAAGGTTTCCAACCGGGTTTCTCATCCCAATACATGTCATAATATATGTGGCCGGGAGTGTGACCATCCACGCAACACCATATGCCTACATAACGACTCACACGTTTCCTGAATCTCTTGTCCCTCGTCTGACCATATATTTACATAAAATTAGTCACATTGTATGAATAAACATAATATGTGTAAAAAAAACATAAAAATCTTCAATAAAGCACTGAACTAAACTTGCCTTGTCAGTAAAACCTGAAAACGCATCGTGCATTGATAAGAATTGGATGACTTTGACATCCTTGAATGAAGAGAATACTGTTTTGAACTGTAGATAAGACAATTATAATTCAATATGATCAGTTGGTAATTTTAGTGAAATAAAATTGGAATAGTAGATATATAGTTAACAATACAGGGTTCATCCTTCAGAACTTGTGTGAAGGGGAGCTATGCTAACAAATTTATTATCTTAAATGGGGAAATGACCAGAGATATATTGGTTCAAGAGAAAGCTTGGATCATTACTAGCCAGTCTAAGGTCAGACCACTGGATTAAGAATGAAGCCCAAGACTGACCTTAAAGCGAGAGACTAAGGCGGTCGCCTAAGGCCCCACATAGATTTTTTTCACATGGGCCTATTATAAGACGGTCTCTATAAATTCATATGGAAATGTGTAATACATATGTACAATTCTTTCATATAAACTGAAGAAGAAAACCAAGGAGAAGATAACAAAGGCGAAACTAGAGGAGAAAATCAAGGAGGAAGTAATTAATGTTCATTAAACTAATGTTAAATGTATACATACGAAGTCTCATTTGTAGATTTTGCCCTAGACCTCCATTTGTATTGAGCTGCTCATGCTAGCATGTCATATACTGGACACTTCAAAGAGTCAAAACGGCAATTTTATTCCATTCCTAAAATCTCCATTTTTAGTTGAATGTGAAGGATTACTGAGAGTACAGGGGTAGTTCCTGAAAATCATACTTGATATCTCCTTAAAAAGTTGACTTTTCTGGGAAGGACTAACAAATTGATATAGAGAGAGTATATAGAAATATATAACTAAAGCATCTGGAAAAATCGGCATGTATGAAGCTTGTAGATTAATTGGGAATACCGTTTCTTCTTTGCTCTGTTTTGGAAATTTTAGTACTCTCAGTGAATTTGTATTGTTTGATACATGACAATCCAGGGATCCTTCTTGACAAAGTTGAACATCAAGCCATGAATCCTTTACCTGAAACAAACAGGTGGTAGCTTCGCTATTAAAAAAAAAAAAAATGAGGATAGTAATTCATTGATCCGAACGCGGCTGATTTGTACATACCTCTCTGGGCACCGATGGATTGTCAAAGAAAGAGTACTCCCTAAAATTGATCCCAGGTCCAAATTCCTCAATAGGAAGTTCTTTTAACATGACATTCACCTGCAATCGTACAATTTTTGATTAGTATAGGTAGCAAACTTGAAAATTGAGAAAGGATGGAATGAGGAGTCCAGATTCTTTGGGATTTTTTTAGTTTTCTATTTATACAACTTGTATGGAAGGTTTAACTCAATATAAAAACTCAAATTCAAATGAGATAAAGAGGCAGTTACACGTTTGTCGAACTGGTCTTGAACTTTTTGAAAATTGTATGAATATAATCAATACAAAATTAAGAAGTTTCTAAAGAAAATTTAGTTTCAAGTGACATTAAGTAGAAAGTGAGTGAACAAAGAGGAGAGTAATTTTTAAAAGAATTACATGACAAAGAGTTTCAAAAAATGTTGAAGAACCATTAAAACAAAAGTGGTTCTCGGAATGACACTCATAGAGAGGCCCAAAGATGTTGAAAAGCAACTTAACAAAAGTGATTTTCCCCCGAAATTCAACAACAACAAAAAAAAAGATATAGCATTGAGTTAGATATTACCAAAAAGTTCTACTTCTAGGGGAATTGAATATGCAGAAGGTTTAAAAGATCAATGAATTCTAAATCGGTGATATGTACCAGATGGTCCATCAGGTTTCAATCACTTCACTTCATAATGATGAAATTATCATCACATTAAAGCAATAAATAAAAGGGTGCTTTCTGGTTGAAAGTCTCTCAATTCATAACTTTCCCCACATACAAGTTTATTCAGTCCCCAACTAGTAAGGACCTAAAAGTAAGTCAATGGGGGAGTGAGCACAAATGCACTGTAGGAAACAAAATTTAGTTTCTCCATGTCATCAAAATTATAAAAGTAATACAAATAACACATTCCATGTCACCAGTTATAACACACATCCATTTGAATCATAGAACTATATTCACATAAGGTTAGTGCTGCGGAAGATTTAACCTCGCCAAATAGTAATTCTGTAAGACGAATGATTTATCTCTGAACGAGATCATGGTAGTGGTTTTAAGTCGATCACTAGCAATCCCACACTGTGATGTTTTCTTTTTTTGATAAGTCACTTTGGTGGTATATTTTCTGTTGAGACAATTTTGTAGTGGTTTTCTGTCAACCATTACCAGTTTGTCACCCCAGATTGCAACCCAAAATCATAGTAGAATACCAAAATTTTGGATGACATAACCAGTATACGAGATCATCCCCCGGTCACCCCCAACAACAACCGACTTAACCTGAATCTTCTTACCAAGTCACCTCAGGCATCGCGTACTGGAGAGTCACCATCTTGGATACTTCCCGCTAGCCCCTAGCATGCAAGGCCTCTTCCAGGAGTCACCCCCAACACACATACATAATGCTAATCCACAAAACAAGTCGTACTTACAAAATGGCCCACAAACATCACAAGAAATCAACCCGAGGATATCATAACAGCAGTCCAAGACTGTCATTACAATGTTCAAACCGAGGGTATCACAATCTCGAATAAAATGGGAGCAGCATCAATCCAAGGCACAATAACAAGACCGTCTCAATGATAACAAATGCAAAATCAATGAAAGACAAAACGAGGTCCGAAACCATCTTAAACATAATGGAAGCGATATCAGCAAAAGATACAAGGATAAAGTCTCAGACCATCTAAAGAAATGGATTTTGAAAACGACATTGCTCTTTGATCATCATATCAAGAATAATTGGAATGAGATAACAGTCCAAAACCATCAAGATGACAATATAAAGCCCAGCTTTATTTCTTTATCAATTCATGACCACACATTTAGCAACTATTTTATTCTCACAATTGTTTTGGTTTTGAGAATTTTCAGACTCAGACCATATCTCAGACATATTGGTTAGGGATCTAGGCATTCTCTTACATTCTATGATTCAGAGTATTTCATCAATCTGAAACCATCACCATCTAAGAAGCACGGACACGGATACGGGACACGGATACGACACGACATGGACACGGCGACACGGCAAATCCAAAAAAATTAGGACACGGACACGGCGAATAGTATATATATATATATATATATATATGCATTAATAATTTTTAAAAAAAAACACTGATATGTTTAGGTTGGAATATATATATATATATCACTGATATGTTAGTATATATATATATCAGCAACTTTAGGATACGGACACGGCGAATTGTGGCATCTTTAGGTTAGTATATATATATATCAGCATCTTTAGGGTAGTACAAAACAAAAACTAGAACATATCAGCATTAAAAATTAAAAATAAAAAATAACATATCAGCATTAAAAATTAAAAAAAAAAAAAAAAAAAAATTCCAGAAAAGTGTGTCCGAGCCGTATCTGAGCCGTGTCCGAGCTGTCTGAGCCGTGTCCGAGTTGTTGGAGTCGTGTCCGCGCCGTGTCCGAAAATTAAAAAAAATAAAAAAAATTCCAGACACGTTTTTTGGCGTGTCCGACACGTGTCGGGGCGTGTCCGACGCGTGTCCGTGTCCGACACGTGTCGGACGCGGATTCTTCGCTCATTTTGAAGTGTCCGTGCTTCCTAGATCACCATAATAAATCAATTTAAAATTTCAATTGAATATAAAATGTCGCTATCACAGCGGTACATCATATCACAGTACTCACAACCAAAGGGAAATCAATATGATTTTAATAATAGTTGGCTGAGCCATTATTTTAGTCTACGAAAGTACTCCGCAACATTTTCCAAATCAATAATTCAATTTCAAAATCCATGTCCACGGCTTTTTCAAAATGTTATCAAAATCCAAAATTGGTCAAAATGATTTCACAACCAGGCTAGTTTCCCTTTCTTAAGCAAGCATAATAAAGGATGTCTTACACAATAACGATAACAATAAAGATTGGGAATGCACATGTATCTGTAGTTCAAAGAGAAGAAACTGATATTCTTATGGTCAAGGATAAGACTATGGTTATTGGTTGATAAAGTGAAAAAGATATTTGTTGCTTCCCAAAGTGCAATACCAATTAAGGAATCTGCAAATAAATTTCTTGTCCTAAACAGTGATTCTGGAATTGGATGAAAAGACCTAGTACCATCATAATTAGTAAGAATGATCAAGTCATTTCTGAAAAAGGTTATAGATGTTCAGGATCCAAAGAAACCTAATAATGGAAGGAAAGTAGGAAGAAGAAGCATGCGAAGAAAGTTCACCAGGTTAGAGAGGTTGGAAGTAGTTCAAACTTCTGCAACCTGGAACATAAGGGATCTTAATAACCCCTCTAAACAGTCATTGATTAATATGAAACTTAGATACAAACTTATTAATCTATGACTGTTTAGAGGGTTACAGAACTCATGCAGAAGAAGAATTTTGGGATTTTCCATGTCCAAGTCAGAAAATCATCCACAAGTCCTATTACATGAACCATAGCTATTAAATAAGTCTGTTGCTCGAAGTTCAAATTTAATTCTTTAACGTTAATGTGAAAATATTTTTCAATAACACCAGTGACATTCTAGCTGTAAAGCTATGAACAATAGATTCTTTAATTCAAAGCATAACTATTATGGTTGCCTAAGAAGCACAGACACAGATACGGGACATGAATACGACACGACACAGACACGGCAAATCCAAAAAAATTAAGACACGGACACGGCAGGGACATGGCGAATAGTATATATATTATATACATATGATGTAGTACTTTAAAAATTACTGAGTGTTACTATTTTTCATCAACCTCATAATGAAAAAAATACACATATCATAATTCATCTACTGTAATAGGGTAACGACTGGCCCTTAAATATCTATTTGTTTTGTCTAAAATTGCAAGTTTAGAAGTTATTACGTACTAACCACATAAGTGAGTAAAAGTTGTTAAATAACTTCACATATTTATACTTTAACCCAATTGTCTTTCAAAAATTATCTTTTAGACCCCCGAAAATAAGAGATGAGTGTCGGACACACACCCCTAGAGTGTCGGACGCGTGTTCGCAGAGTGTCTATGCCGCGTTCGAAAATTAAAAAAAATAAAAAATTCCAGACACGTTTTTTGGTGTGTCCGACATGTGTCAGACATGGATTCTTCATCCAATTTGGAGTGTCCGTGCTTCCTAGATAGTTGCTTTCACCACAGAAAGCTTATTCAAGAGGGATTTAAGAAAAGGGCATCATCACCTATACACAACCAAGAAAGAGAAAAAAGAAAAAGATACATATGATCCTACCAAACTCGAACAAAAATCATAGTTATTATAAATTTAAACAAAAGAGAGTACCTCAAACACATGATCCAAAGGGCAGAGAAAAGGTTGTCTTGTCATAGACCCCACCAAAATTCCAGGATGTGGAAACCACAACCTATCCAACCTGCACCATAGTGGAGGCATAACCTAAAAATCACAATAAAGAACAAAAAGGAGATCAAGATGAGGACTTCAAAACAGTATTAGCAAATATAAGAGACTAAATTGATCAGCCAAACAATATTTTGTAATTAGATTTACTAAAACAGACACATATCTCTTACCAACAAGGTACACCACCGTAATCCTGGCTTAAAGTTCATACACAATAATAGATTGCAGTTGCATTTTTATATTGATATCCGAAAAGAATGTGCATGATTGGAGGCAGTATTTTTATTTCCTAGTGCAAAGAAAAATATTGATTAGATACTTTTGTTTAATAAACAGAAGGTGACCAACTAGGGTTCAATGCTAGGTGCAATCATCAAAGATCAAGCTACCAAGCGTGTGCAAATCTATGAAACACGAACACCAGAACAGCACATGAACACGTTGACACAACAAATTATCTGAAAATTAACATGCATAAAAGCCTTTTATATTATTATTTTAGAACTATAATTACCCAATGTGTTATTAGCTTCCATCATAATCCCATTATGACTGATAATAAGCAGCCCTTTTATGCACTAAAATTTACATAAAAATAAATTATATATATATATATATATATATATAATCTCTATATTTTCAAAAAAAGAAACTCAATAAACTAGGACAAAAAAAAAAAAAAAAAAAAAAAAGAAACTCAATAACGACAGAGGGCAAATACATTTTCTATGGTATTACACTAGCAAGTAGATATTCTTTTAACTAATCAAATTTAAAAACTTATGATGTTACAAATTTGAGCTGAAGATGAGGTTTCCCTTCTCAGAGCTTCGAAATGGGTATATAACACTTTGATGAATGAAAAACTAGAATTAATAATAATTCAACCATAGCAGGAGTATTAATGTTTCCTACTTTTTTATTTATATTTTTGTTAACAAGAAGACTCCCATTACACCAAAACTAACCTTTATTAAATCAATTTCTATCATAAAATTTGAGGAAAATCAGTATGAGATATATATATATATATATATATCATGATCTTATTTATTATTATTACAGCTGTAGAACTAGCATGTGATCATGCAAATATATAAAAGAGCAAGCAGTTCTCCATAATGCTAATGAGTATGCTAAACACGCAAATTTTCATTTTTCCTTCAACAATAGAGTAAGATCAAAATAACTAAGATGTCATAGGTTAGAATGGTTCTCACCAGTGTACGATTCAACACTGAAGCAATTGCAAGCGCTGACCTTATTTGTTTTATCTGAAGAGAACAATTCACTATATTATTAATGAAATGCAAAATGGTAGTTATAAAAAGATAAATTGTAATAGAGTCAGTAGGATTAGGTTAATACATGCATACTTGGTAATTAATGAGAGAAAAGTGTGATTTAATATTATGGTCCCCATCTAGCAACAAGCTCTTGGGAATAGACGGTTTAAATGTCAAGAAACCTCCTGCACAAGTTTTTCAAAGAAGTTAAATTGTCAGCTTCTCTTGCAACAAAGTAGTTATCTCAAAAGCAAATGTTACTATGTACAAGTACATATAATTCAATTACTGCACCCATTGCTATTGAAAATAGAGTATAACATTATTAAAGTGTATCTATAGTTTTTATTATTTATTTTCATGTTACTCATATTTTTTAATAATTGATATTAACTAGTTATTAATTCGCACAACAGACAAGGATTGAGCTATAAGACTTAAACTTTGATTCCAAGACTATGGGAATGAGAATTTTACATCCCAGGTGGAATCAGTTATCTACTAACTGATTGTACCACATCCCATAGAAATGTAGTTCCCGTTATAATGCCGAATGTGGGAATTAGACAGAGTGAGAACATTCTAGCTCTCGCGTCCCACTAAACAAACGCATTGTGCATGGCAAGAATAGGTTTTTAAGTCCCTTTATTATTTCTATTTCTTTTGGTACATAGTAGCATGAGCATACAATTTACTCAGAAGAAATGCTGATGGGACATTCGTTTCTATTATTTTCAACTATGTTAATATTTCCTTTATCTGGAATCAGTCTCCATAGAACAGAGGAGGATTGGAGTATATTTCAATCAACCACATTTAAATGAATTTGAGTATTTCTCTGGTGTTGTGATATCAATGCATACCTAATAAATTAAAGAAAAATAAATAAAAAGATATTTGAAGTGCAACTGTGCTATATGTTACCAAATGCTTAAGAATTGAAAAACGTGTTCACAGAATAAGCAAGTTGAATGAGCATTGAGCAAGAATGGAAGGAACTAAAAATTTATAAATCTTATGGGAAGCAATCCCAATTAAGGGCAAGGTGAAAAAGAGTCATCTAAGATAGTGGTGGTAATAAGCACTTGAGACCAGTGACTAAAAATTAAAAGTGGACAGAATTTCATGTTAGCAATGCTAACAAGGGTAAGGCCAAAATGTATGTTGCTTGAGTTTGTAACCGAAGGAAGGTGGATCTATGAATTAACATAAAATATTGCCTTAGAGAAAGTCACACATATTTCTACACGTCCAGCCCCAGATAGAACATACTTTGTTGAGTTCTACAGTGATAATGCTCATTTTTCCCTTATTCATCATCATTAGTAAATTGTTTAAAATAAATTTGATAATATACACACAGGACAGCAGCTATAATCTAAACTGTTAGCCTCATTAATCTGGCTGTTTAATCATTTAAAAAAGAATGAATGAAAACAATAAAATTAGAAAGCTTCTATAGAAATGAATATGTAGAAAATATATCCAGGAATGAGATGCATGGATCAGAAAAGAATCAAATAACTTTATGTTGTGCTCATTTTATGGCAGTTTTTTTTAGTGAATTTCACTAATAGACAAAAAAATAAAAAAAATAAAGTAAATTTAAACAAGAAGAAGATAATAGTGCAGAAGAAGATGCAATGGATAAAATTAACAAATATAATGTTGGAAAAAGATAATAGTGAAGAAGAAGATGCAATGGATAAAATTAACAAATATAATGTTGATCAAGATATAATGGAAGTTAAGATGAGCCAAAATAATCAATCACACCTTGCGAAGAACAGTCTACAGAGAAAGCAATTTGCAAGAATGAATGTAAGATATGGCTCTGAATTACCTGGTGAGTCATAATATTCTGGCGGATCATAGAAAACCATTGCTTCACGTAGTCGATGCCGCTTTCCTTCAGTACCAGCATATTGAAAAGTGGTGTGCACAGCATATGGCTCCATTCGGAGTTGTTGATACATGGCCTGCCAATACAAATAAGGATTGATGTAACACACTATACAATTTATTCTGCTATTTGTTGAGGATTTAAGCAAGCAAAATCAGAAAAGGAACTGAAGATCTGGGATGCACACAGAGAGCCCAGGAATAAGACTGGTGCACAGAAAAAAACTATTAAATAGACCCTACCTGGACAAAGAAAGTATGGCCGCTACAAAATATACTAGCTGGTAACAGTCCTAGCTTGAGGTTTCCATCATAAGCATGTACAAGTCCACTTTCCCCAACAACAGATGGTCCCAACTGCCTGCGCACGAGGTCGTTGAAGCCATTCTGATCCCATATCTTTTCATCAGCTAGAAGCATATCTTTCCATTCTTTTGCCAACTTTTTTGCAGAATCAGTAGGGCGCCAGTGGAAAATTCCTATATTGTAGGCAGCACCAACTGTCCAAGGTGAAAAAAGAATTTCATTAGTGAAATGGCAGCTAAATAGTAATCCTACCTTAAATATGAAGAATGTCATTTAATCACAACTAACCTATTTGATCAAAGTACAGATTTGAACATGAATATATATATATATATATATATATATATACAAGGTACTTGAGTTTATTATAAAGATGAATGTATTCAGTTGATAAAAATATGTGAGGTCAAGTGGCCAGGATGAGAAGCACTATAGAAGTGAGACAAAGATTAAGCTTTAATGATAAAAGAATATGTATAACTAAACCCATTATTTCCTCCAGTTCTGGGTTTTTGCCTGGTTCTTGGCTAAATGCTGAAAACTATTAGGGCGAAATGCCTATCATCCAATTTTGGGTCCCTGTATGAAAGCGCATATACATGGATCCATCATTCACATCCTTACAGGTTCAATGCCAATAAAGTAGAAGCAGATCGACATGCCCAACAGTTGACCAGTTCCACTGTCCAAGTCCTAGGCCTAGTAATGGATAAAGGGCCCATCACTTAATAGGGTAAACAGGTAGCTACTTCCACCCCTGTGCCTATATTACGAAGTACACATATTTATCATCCTATGTCAAACCAGTCTAGGTTTTCCAGCCACGCTTGGTAAAGACCCCGTCTCTTGGGCCTTAATTTGAAGGGATAGTCTTATTGAATCTATTTAAAAGATTAAGATCAAGTCTTCTGTAAATGGATCTTATAGTTTACATTCACATTTAAACCCAAATGAACTCTGCTTATGTCTTGATATTGCCTTATCTTTATATAACCAGTCCCAAGCTTGGAAAAAGGAGGGAGTTGCTTTAGGTAGGTTGATAGCCAGTGTGTAAAACTTTTGTACGGACCAATACGAATATGAATCCTAAGAGGATATGAGTAAATGCTAAAGCATTACCCTTAAGCAATGCGATGCATTAGCTTCCGCATACCATGGAAAATTAGCAAGGGATGCCACATCGGCGCCCTGATGCAAAGTAGGCAAGGATTCTTGTGTTTTTTTAAACAAGTGTGGGTAAAGAAGTTAGCTCAGGATAACTTAGATTATGGATTTGGAATATAAGAACGTTAAGGAATGGAGTTGATAGACACTACGATTAGAAGGATGGTTAATATATTATGTCTATAAAAAGTTAATGGATACAGAAAAAGCTAGAAAAATTGAGAATACATGATATAAACTCTATTATATAGAAAATATTGACATAGAAATGAAGAATGGATAATCATTAATACGAATTTAAAAGAAGATATTATAATTGTGATTAGAGAAGAGGATGAAATAATATTAATAGACCATGTGATGAGAAGAAATAAAGTTAATAAACTAGGAAAAAAGAAGAAGAAATACAGTTAATATATTTAGCGCTTATGCACCCCACTCCAGACAAGACTAGATGAACACATTAGAAAATAAAACATATAGAGGAATTAATTCAAGGGATATTCAAAGGAGAAAAATTATATATAGGAGGAGATTTTATGATCATGTAAGAAGAGATTATGGAGGGTGTGAGATGGTACATGGTGGACACAGGTTTGGAGATAGAAATGATGCTGGGGAGGACATCTTAGACTATGCATTGACATATAATCTGATTGGAAATACCTATTTTGTAAAGAGATATACATTGAATAACCATCAAAAGTTGATCAAATATGAGTCCAATCAACTTTTTTCTAATTAGAAAGATAGATTGCTTAACATTGAAACTATTGTAAGATTATCCTAGGAGATTTAACATCACAACTTAGGATAGTAGCATTAGATGTCTATATATAAAAGGACAATAAAAAAAGTGAAACAAAAGTATGGATCCAAGAACTAGGTGGTGAAATTTAAGAGGGCAGAAAGTAGAATCATTTAAGAAGAATGCTAAAAGTAGAAACATGGAATTTAGAAGATGAAAGAAACTTAACGTGGAATAGAATGACCAAGTGTAATAAACAAGTATCAAGAGCTGACCTTCAAGAATCAAAAGGAAAAAGACCAATTATGAATTATCTAAGGTAACTTATTAGTGGAATGAATATGTCTAAACCATCATATAAACAAACGGGGAAGGTCATGAACTGAACAAAAACTAAAAATATAGAAATACCTTTGAAAAATACAAAGATGTAAAAAAGAAATTTAAAAACTAGTGAAAGAAGCTAAATACAAATCATACAATGATCTCTATTCTAAATTAGGTATAAGAGATGGAAAAAAGAATATATATATATATATAAGTTGCTAAACTAAGGGAGAGGAAAACTAGAGTTTTTTTTAACCATTGTTAAATATATATAGAGTGAAGATTTAAGGGTTTAGTAAAAGGATGACGGCATTAAAGAAAGATGGAAAAATTACTTTGAGAAATTGTTAAATAAAACTTATCTAGAAAGTAGGTTTATATTTTTTTGTAGGATTATGGAGTGTGAGAATAAAAATATAATACAGAAGTCAAATCAGGTTGGGTACTCACTACTAAGACTATATGGCATTCTTATTAAGGTTTGGAAGTGTCTAGAAGATGACAGTGTGTCTTGACTAATAAAATTGTTTAATAAGATGATAAAAACTAAACAAACATGATGAGTGGTGCAAAAGTATCTTAGTGCCTATATAAATAAAATGAAGGGGGTATCCAAATTTGTACCAATTATCGTGATTTTTAATTAATAAGTCAAACTATGAAACTTTGAGAGAGAGAGAGTGATTGAAGAACAACTAAGACAGGAACGGAAGCATCCAAAAATCAATTTGAATTCATGCCAGGAAGGTCAATGATGGAGGCAATTTTCTTATTGAGGAGACTGATGAAACAATATACAAAAAAGAAAGATAATCAGAGAAAGCTTATGATAGGGTGCCTGGAGATCTAATATGGAGGATTTAAAAAAAGAAAGGTGTCACAAAGGGATATACAACTTGATAGACGACATGTACGATGAAAGTGTTACCATAATTAGAATGAATATGGTAGAAACGTTAACTAATGTAGGCTTACATGAAGGGTCAGCATGGAAGCCTATATGCTTTTACTTTTTTCCATAATTATAGATGAACTGACAATACACATTCAAAATGAGATTCCTTGGTGTATGTTATTTGTTGATGATATTGTTTAATTGACGAAACTAGTGAAGAAGTGCTAAATAGGAGATTCGGAGGAAAGCTCTATAACAAAAAGGATTTAACGTATGAATAAAATTGAATATATGAGATGTAATTTTAGTAATCTAGAAGTAAAAATATGGCAGTTGTGAAGATTGAGGATCAAGAAATACAAAAAGGTGAACATCTCTGCTATCTGGAGATAATATTAAACAAAGAATCAAGGCATGATGGATTAAATGGAGGAATTTGTCCCCCCCCATATTGTGTGATCAACGTATCTCCGTAAGATTGAATGGGAAGTTCTATAAAACAACTATTAGACAAACCACTCTTCATGAAAGAGAATGTTGGGCAACTAAGAAACAACATATGCATAAAGCGAGTTTGGTCAAAATGCAAATGTTGAGATGAATGTCCGACAAGACAAGAAAGGATAGAATTAAAAAGAAACACATTGCGAGATGATTGAAGTTGAACCAATTAGAGATAAAATGAGAGAAATCGATTAAGATAGTTTGGAGATGTGTAAAGAAGACCACTAGATGCACCAAGTAGGAAAAGTGAAATGGTCCACATGGAGGAAGACCGAAATAAACACAGGTGGAGTTAGTGACGAAAGATGTGAAAACATATGGTTTGATTGAGGCTATGACATTAGAAGAGAATGAAAAATAGAATTCATGTATCCGACCCCAAGTAGTGGGGCCAAGCCTTTGTTTGTTGTACATTTGAACCACAAGTTACGTTCAAGGGACCCATTACATTATATGGAAAAAAAAAACTCAAGCCAAAAGGCAAGAGGATGCTGGTTTGAGTGGAAAACAACCAATTTGAACAAAGTAACATTAAAATTTGTCCTACTCTAGTTTTTGACTCTTGGCACCTCACCAGACAGGACCAGCACTGAATATTGGCCTTACTACAGACAGTCACATTTGGTCCCATAATCGGGCCTTACTCAGGTCAGACTTCAGATAATGATGGAGTCTTTTGATAGCCTTGGCCACAAAAACAGAATATGGTTGTCTGGCAAATTAATGTAAATGCCATTTTTATATACAAAAATCTATAACTCAAAATTGTACGATTTTCAGTTCATTGTCCATTAGAATAACATGCAAAGACCTCTAAATTATAACTCTGGTTCCATATATTTAGTTAAAAACAGTAATGACATGTTTAATGAACCAAAGTTTCATTCAGGACCCAAGGGTGTGATAACAGTGAAAATGATAGTAAGTATGCCGTTGTTATTTTGGATAATATCACAATATTTCAGAAATGAAAACTATAATCATTTATGAAATTCTGTTCCTTTCTTATTTACATAAAAATTAATAATAATAATTCTGTTCATCAAAACAATTTTGCGATGGGTTCAGAAGAAGCCTCCCTTGTTCTCCATATATCCAAAAGTAAGTTTCTTTCTGTTGAAGCCCATTCAGTAATTCTCTACCACATGAACTCTAGAGAATAAGAAAAAAAAAAAAAAGACGTATGTGATAAAATAGAAATTAACTTTTATTACAAAGAAAAAAATTGTTCTTGCAGTGACATCAAGAAAAAATATATTATGCTACAGCAGAAGTTAGGCGTTTCAGTTAAAACCTAGTGCTGTACTTTTGGAACAAGAGAAGCCTACTTTTAAGTACCTTGAATTCTAGCTGGATACTAAAATTTGGTTGATGCATTTCCACGCACACGCATGCACACACATCCAGTCGGGAAACCAACATAAGTCAATTTTATTCTTTCTTTTTACCATCATGTTAACTCAGAATTCTACAAGATGTTTCCAGATTGAGAAAGTTCATCAGAAGAAACAGAAGGTATATGATGAGAAGCAGATTGTGTCCACAAACAAGAACCGCACACGCCTATTCTGTACTTAAAGTCAGTAAAAAGCATTGACTCTTTGCAAACATGAAATTGAACTTCATGAACCCCAAGGGGTTGGCTCAAGTGGGTAAGAACTTGGCTCTGGTGCCTCAGGAAGCATCAGGTCTAAGGTTTGAATCCTCTTGGGTGCAAACAATTCCTTGAGGGGGGTGTGTGAGTATGAACTAGGAAAAAAAATTGAACTTCATGTTTCGTTCAACAATTGTCCATTCTAGGAGGAAAATTATTTTGTTAAAATAAAGGAGATTTGAAACCATATCATCACGTATATTTATACAACACCTTAAATGAAATAGAATACAGAGGGTGGTTAGATAAAGACTTGTTTGAATGACTTCACCTTAAACAAGGTAGTATAAAAGAAACTTATTGAAGGTAGTATAAGCTGCTCCTACTACAGCAACTTTTTCCACACTTGCAAGTATGCATGTTGGACCGACTCTTCATAACAAAGATGGCATTATAATGTTGCAACTTAGCTCATGTGTCAGGAAATAAGCAGACATAATCCTTTTCAAGATTTGCTAACTGGAGTTCAGAAGACTGAACTACAAACAGCTATAAGATATCAAATAACAACCACTCTGAAAATAGATAAGCATTAAAAGCTTTTGAATACAATATTCACCTTGTTGCCAGATGTCCAACCTGTCATCAACAACTGTTGGTATAACTTGATCAGTTGAAGTAAGAACATCTGCCTCTGGAAAACGTGCAAGATATGGAAGGGGGTTCTGTACCACAACCATAGCAGTTAGAGAAAAGAATCCAACAAACAGAAAAAGAAAAGAACTATAAGAAAGAAACTACAAAATCTCTTAAAGATGTTTTCAGCAACACATCCATAAAGCTCCTTGAGAATTACATAAGAAAAACAAGCAATAATATAAAGAAGAGAACATGAGCAAAGAGAAAGAAGAAATGAGTAAAATGAGAGACGAAGAATAAGCAATATGAGATATATTTTAAAAAAATAAAAAAATTTATTGTCATATATTACTGATCTAGCTATTAAGCCACCAAAATTTATATTTATAATGTCTACGATATATCACAATGAATGTGTTATGCTTCTCCTTTTACGAAGTGCCCCCTTTAAACCCCCACAGGTACCGGAGTTGGCATAAGACCTCTGGACATGACTCAGAGGTCTTGTGTTCAATTCCCGGGGGAGTCAAAAACCTCCTCCCAGGGCTACCAGATAGGGCTGATGCCCGTGAAGGGATTAGTCCTGTCTCCAAAGGGGGTGGAACACCCTCCATTTTTTTTTTTTAACTTTTATTTATTTATTTATTTATTTTTTTTAAATATAAAAAAAGTAGTCCCTTCTAGTGAAGGGACTTGATAGTATGAAAAAAAGAAGGAAGAAGCCAACTCAAGCGTAGTTCATCCTCCCTCTCTTCTATCTATCTATCTATCTGTGTGTATGTGTGGTAAGTAAGTAAATGATATAAAAAAAAAGGGAAAAGATGTATAAAAAAGGGGGGAAAAAAAAAAAACAAATGTGCAAGAGTTAAGAGGGGCATCCCCCCAGGTACAAACTCCATCAAACAAGAGGGCCCAAAAGAGAAACCAACCTCTAGAACAAAGTAGTTCATATTTTCAATAATAAAAAAATCAAGAAAAAAAAGACACTCAAAGAAATTTAGAAATATTATATTATCGAATCTGGATTTCTAGTAGTGTGTCCCATCAAGCCCCAGATCAAACTCGTAAAATAATTAATGACTAAAGAAACATTTGTAGTCAAAATGTCTATAATCTACCAACAAAGAGGAAAAACAAAGCAAGTGATAGATTGACAAAAATAATGTGAGCAGAGGGAGATGAGCTTGATCCCAAGAAAGATAATAGAAAATAATAATAATCATCAAAGTAATAAGCACAGAGGAGCACCTTCAACCAAACCATGTCAGTATCACACATCAGAAGCTCACAGCCAAAAGGCAGGATTGCATCTATTAAAATAACTTTCTCTCTCCCCATTTTGTGAAATGTTGGTGAGCCCCATCCAACATCTACTGTGCTCATATGGCTACCCATATCAAAAGTTGGAACCCCTTTCCAATACAAAGCCTCCAAAAGTTTTGTATCCATTGCACCTATAACAGCAACTTTCATTTTCTTAGACTTTAAACATATCAAATATGCGATACAGGTAAATGTGTCTTCACACAAAAAGTTTAATCCTTATGATTAAACTGAAACAATATACATGGCTTATGTTACGGAGCACATACCAACAAGAAGATTGTCAAGACCCAAATCTGTCAGGTGCTTAACCCATGTCAGGATAAAATCCATAAAAGCATAGTTACCAAAGGTCACTATAACAACATTGTCTTTCACCCTTTCAAGAACCAGTTCTTTTGTCAACTGAAAGGTCTTCAGATGTGGCATTTTTGAACCAGGAGGGGGAGCTTCCCAAATAGGTTTCATCAATTTGCTTTGAGGATGGGGTGCAAGCGCTGTCACTACACCCATTGTTCTTAATTGAGAAGAGTTGGATGCTTGATTCAAGTATTGAGAATCTACACCTGAGATAATGCGCTCATGGGTATAAGTAGGGAAGGGAAAAAAAAGGGGATAAAATAATATATAGTGGGAAGAAGAAGCAAACAAAAAGCTTAACGTGTGAAGGAAGAACATCATTAAAGTTAGTGTCTTCAACAAATTGTGGTAGAAATTTCAAAGAAATATTACCCAAGCTCGGGATCGCAAGCCAAGGATAATCTTGGAACAAACCCCGCAATGACGGGAACCTTGTGCACTGGGTTTGCCCTCGCCCTAATAAGGAGAGAATTCATGTACGTAATGTGCACTTAATATCTAGCATGGTCAGAATATGAATTTTAATCTATTAATCCGTTTTGCATAACATTGCCACAAAATTATTGTTGACAACCATTGAGAAAGAAGTCTATAGAGTTAGATTGTCAAACAACTCTTTTGATCATCAGCTCAGTCCAAAGTAGATTCCATGTTCACTAAACATATGAAAGTCCTTCCCAATCCGAAAGACCCAGAGAATTGTGAATGGACAGCCACTAATGCATTTCAGATTGCACTTAAAATCTCTCACAATGCAAACACCAAGTTTTTAACCTCTCAGGCATGGACCACACCATGTAAAATCCATAAATCATCACAATCAAATCACAGTTGAGGGAAATGACAAATGAGCAATTCAACAAAAAGGAGAATGCCAATATTCTGAGAAAGAATGTGACACAGAAAGCTTATATGCTGTTTATGTGAATTATAAATATGTATGTCTATGTAAAGTTACTCTTGGTTGACATCACAAGGACTCGACCAGAACCCCAGGAGCAGCTCTTTAACAAATTCAAATGGTAGATCACAATCCCATGGCCGGAAGGTAAACAAAGGATACCCCAAAATAAATAGATTAATAAAAAATTGAAAATTAACCAACTAAGAAACTTAAGCATGAAAGGAACTGATACTAAGTGAAGCATCAACAGCTTAGCCCCTCTACAAGAAAACACACACACTTTGACCCAAGCATTATAGATTGCAGTCTCATATAAACTAGCTATCTGCAAATTACCAATGTCCGTACATGTATATGCACGCACACACGTCTGTAAGTATGTATTTATCTATAACATTATCCTTGGAAACAGGGCATCTCCAATCTTTCAAAAGTACAAATTAATCCCACAATCCATTATTCCTGATTTTTGTATACTCATATTCCAGGGTGTTATTCAACCTAAGCTCATACTCAATATTATAATTTGATCGATTCAGTGAAGTAGTGAAACAGTAACTATATATTTTTTGCAAAGAAAGCAAGTTCATATAGAAGCAATCAACAAATAAATATAACCCACAATCTATTCAATGCAACAAAAGAAAAGAAAATGGCACGCACTCACACACACTCATAGATATAGATATATATATATATATATATATATAGAGAGAGAGAGAGAGAGAGAGACGTACGGGAAGTAGATGGGGGAAGCCACCACGTGGGTGAATTGGGAGAAGAGTAAATGGCGGAGAAGACATAAAAAGAAGAGAAGACGATGCCGATGAGTACAGTGGCGTAGATCGTCAAGAACAGTGGCTTCGAATTGGCTATTTCTTGAAAAGGGTTCGCCCAAGCCATTTTATTTATTTGTACATTCAATTTCACAAACAGTGGCTTGGGTTTCAGATTCAAATTCTCGTTATAATCATTGCATACATATAAGTGTATCTGTTGTGTGGTTTAAGAAACGAAAGAAACCCTAAAAAGTTACAAATTCTGTATCGAGAAGCAACTATGAATGAAGATGAAATAGATCGGTCAGAGGAGTGGCTAAACAAGGGAAACTGCGAAAGTCAAATAGCGCCATTGCTGTCTGAATCTGTCAACAATTAGATAATAATGATATTACAAATAATAATATGCAAATGCTAAAAAGTAGTAGTATGGTGGTAGTGGGTTAGTTGATTTTATTTTATTTAATTGCTTGGAAGAAATCTCAAGTGTTGTCAGAGAATCTGTGCCAATTGAGTTTAATAAATATCTTTAAATAAACCAACGATTGTAAATCTTGTCAATAAGGCAGGTTTTGATCCAAATTCAGTTAAAACCGGATGATTTATTCATAGGTAATTAAAATATAAATTATGATAAATTCGATTAAAAATAATACTTATAATATAAATATATTATAAATAATATATTTGTTTTTAAGAAAAAAAATAGCATTGTTTTTTCTTCTCTATTCTTTCTTACTTTTTTTCCCCTTCTTTTCCATTCTTATCCTATTTTTTTATTATATTATAAATAATTAATTAATTTATTTATTTGGTATAAAAATATATATAACATTAATTTTTTTTCTTCTTTCTTCTCTAATTTTTTTTTTTTTTTTTTCCATTCCATTATTTCTTACTATATATATATATATTTTCAGAAAGAGTGTAACAACTTTTTTCTTTTCTTTTCTTTTTTATTTTTATTTTTTAAAGTCATTATTTGATGATTTTTCTGAACTTAAATTTTTGTAATAAAGGTTGCACCATTAATGGATTTGTCACCTAATCATTCAGTAACAAATTGATAAGAATTCATTCATAAATAATAGGTCGAATCAAATTTTAAAAATATTTTTTTTTGTGTTTGAAAACATTAAGTCGATAACTTGAATTTTAAATTAGAAAAAAAAATTAATTTATTATTAATTAAATTTCTTTCAATTTTAAATTTACTCTCAAACACAAACTTATTATTATTATTTTTAAAAAGTTAAAAAAAATGTATGTACGAGCATATTACATCAAATTCAGCTTTAGTTAAATAGACCAGCCCAATGGGCCAGCGAAGAGAGTACAATGGCCCAAGCCAAACAAAAACAAAGAATGACCCAAAGAGGATGCAAATTACAAAGCAAATCAAGCTTGATAGGATTTTTTTTTTTTTGAAAGGTCTGATATGATCTAGATCGAATTGTTTTCTACTGCTAGTCATTTTTGTATCAATTTAAATCTTGGAAAAGGTTGTATAGTAATTATGACCATCTTTTTTCCTAATTTGGATCATTCAAGTAGATTTTGTGTGCGCAATTGGGACAGATTAATAGCCTTATGATTTTGATGATAACTTCACAATTTTTTGTCTTGCATTCTGCAGTGAGGTTAAGACCTAGATAAAAGAAGATAAAAGACTTGGTTAAATTCAAATTAGCTCCAGCCCAATGGAAGTTAAATGCACTAGTCTAATATAAATGAGGCTAGCTTCGGCAGCACGAAATTGAAACCTTGAACTGAATTTAATAAAATTGGAGAAGAACAATTCATAAATTGAATAAATTTTTTTTTCTAATTTCACCGATTTCAAGTTCAAGACTTCAGTTCCATGAAGTCAAACATAGCCGAGAGTTTTTGCAACTAAAAAGACCAAATATATGAACCACGTTCTTCAATTTTTCTTTTTTGGGTAAATTCATTAGGTTCCTAGTCCCACTCAAATTAAACGCTAAACAACAAAAGATAATTGCAATTTAAAATTATCCAAGTCTTCATACATCACAAATTGAAAAATTGGCCTTGACTTGGATGTATATGATTTTTTTAAAAGAAATTAAGGAAAACACGTTACCATTTTATATACTCAGTAATTAAGTTGAATGACTTGTGAAAATGATTGGAAGACTTCACCAAAAGCCTCTGTGAAAAGTACCAAAGATTCTAACTAAACAGTTCCTTTAAATTTAAGATGAACAATAACAACCATATATACCATCGCCAAAAACGAGACAGATCATCTTGCCTTGTCGGCCTTCAAGTCACATGAGCTCATGGAACGAGTCCCTTCATTTCTGCAGCCGGGAAGGTGTTGCATCTGGTCATCGCCGTCGTAGAGTCATCACCATCGATCGAGAGTACAGAGGCTTAGTTGGTTCGTTGTCACCTTACATTGGTAACTTGAGCTTCCTTAGAGTGTTAAATCTCTTCATTTGTTCAGGCTGCAAATATTGAACCTGAGCTTCAACGGCTTCGAAGGAGAAATTCCCGCCAACCTATCCCATTGCTCCAACCTCTGGTATCTCGGTGTGTGTTGCAAACTTGCAATAAGCTAGTTGAAAAACTTCCTGAAGAACTAGGTTCCTTGTCAAAGCTCACAAAGCTCATCATTCACCAGAATTACTTAGGTGGAGGGATCCCTTAATCCATTGGAAGACTGACTTCTCTAGAATATGTGTCTGCGGCTGGAAATCTTTTCACGGGCAGTCTTCTTGATGCCTTGCTCAATTGAAAAACCTAAAATTACTCGGGTTCAGATAAAAATTTCAATGGGAAATTAGAAATTAATTTTGGGGGCCTCCAAAATCTCCAGAGTATTTTTGCATATAAAGATAACTCAGGAAGTGGGGAGCCAGATGAAATGAACTTCATTGATTCTATGACCAATTGAATTTTGGGTTGTTAGAACTGTCTTTTACCCAATTCAAAGCGCTCTTACCCAATTCTGTAGGCAATTTCTCAGACGAAGTTTATTTTCTCTCACTCAATGGAAATTTCATATACGGAGAACTCCTTTCGGCAATAGGTAATCTTGTCAACTTAAATACTAACGGGCACAATTCCAGCTACTATAGGAAATCTTCAAAAACTACAACAGGCGTATCTTTACGAAAATACATTTTATGGGGTAATTCTGAATCTGTAGGAAACTTGTCATTGTTGACGGAGCTTTGCTTGGGTGGAAACAAATTAATGGGGAACATATCCCCGACTTTTGAAAATTGCAAAAATATGTTATTGCTTGATCTTACTCAAATGTACACACACTACCTCCACCGAGGTTCGAACCCCTGACCTCCCCTTTGGGGAGGTAGGGATGATACCGCAGGGCCAATTAGTCCCTTGGTTTCTCAAAATTATCTTAGTGGCACCGTACCCAAACAACTTTTGAGAATTTCAGCTCTTTCTATTTCACTAAATCTGTCTCAAAACCGTTTGTTGCGATCCCTTCCTACAGAGATTGGCAGCCTAAATTTTTTTGGCGGAATTGGATATATCTGAGAATGAGTTGTCTGGTGAAATTCCTAATAGCCTTGACAGTTGCACTAGCCTCCAAAACCTTTACATGGAGGGAAACTTCTTTAATGGAACTATTCCGCAATCCTTGAGTTACTTGAGAAGTATAGTGAACTTTGATATTTCTAGGAACAAATTGTCTGGGCAGATTCCAAGATTCTTGGAGCAATTTTCCTTAAAGAATCTTAATTTATCCTGCAATGATTTTGAGGGCGAGGTGCCCCTTGCAGGAGTTTTTGCAAATGCAAGTGCAATTTCAGTTGTTGGAAACAATAGGCTCTGTGGGGGCATACCTAAAACTTCAACTACCAAAATGCAACATCAAAGAAGCTGAGAAGCAACAAAAGTTCTCTTGTACTCATATTAGTGATCTCTATAGCGTGCACACTTCTGGGTGTGACAATGGTGTTCTTTTTCTCGTTTTGTTGGGTTAAAAAGAAAAGAATGCTCAACCTTCTAGAATGCTGTTGAAGGAATCATCTCTAAAGTGTCTTATGAAAGGCTACTCAAAGCAACTGACACGTTCTCTACAACAAAATTGATTGGTATGGGGGATTATGGCTCTGTATACAAAGGAATCCTTGATCCAAATGAAACTATTGTTGCAGTTAAAGTACTAAACCTCCAACATTGGGGAGCTTCCAAAAGTTTCATAGCCAAGCGTAAGGCTTTGAGAAATATTAGACATCGAAATTTGGTAAAGATCATAACTTCTTGCTCAAGCATTGATTTTCAAGGAAATGATTTTAAGGCTCTAGTCTATGAGTTCATGCCCAACGGGAGTCTAGAGAGTTGGCTGCATCCAAGTCCAAATATAGTATCAGGGAGAATGATCAAATTAAGAGCCTAATGTCACGGATTTGGGCCTTTCCAAGCTCACGTGAGGCCTTAGACACTTTCAAGCCCCCTTGAAGCGCTAATTCAGCCTACCCGAGTGTGCTAGCTTAGTAGTGAAGACTAAGGCTAAACAAATGCTTTGCTTACTTAAGTATGTAGGAAGAGGGTTAGGCAAGTGAACAAGATAGTTTGGATGAATGTATGAACACTTGTATTACTTGAGAAGAGATTACAACTTGTTTGCTTGGTAAGGAGCAAATGAACTCCCACCTCTTATTTATAGGCCTTTGACCCTTACAAGAATATTCTAGATGTGTACAAATGTGTAGCCTAAAATAAGTGTCTAGAATCTTCCAAAGATATATCTACACAATTCTAGAACTATCTACAATGTACAAGACAGTCTAGAGAATTCTAGGCTATTCTATACAACTCTAAACAAGTCCAGAAGAGACTAGACAACTCCACATTATTCTAGAGAATTCCGGAAAGTTCCATACTTGTGTAGAGAAGTCTAGAAAGCTCTCGGTCCATGCAGGCTGCCATGTCATCGTCTGCTGGGCGCCTGTGTGGCGTAGCCTCTGGTTACGGAGCGTGACATTCTCCCCCACCTAAGCTCGCAACGCCCTCGTCGCGTCTTCTCGCTTAAACCACTGGATATGCTCTGCGAACTGAAAAAGTGTATTCTCATACTCCTAGCTCGCCTCGCTATCTGGCAGGTTCTTCCATTTCACTAAATACTCTGTATACTTGGGCACGCCTCTCCTGCTCATCACACGATCCGCAAGGATGCAATCAACTTCCTTGTCAAAGGATGTGACAACAGCCATGGGTGCCCTATGCGATATGCCCTGAGTAAGGTCTTCCGCGTCTCCATGATAAGGCTTGAGCATGCTGACGTGGAAGACTAGGTGTATCTTCAACTTAGGTGGAAGCTCCACCATGTAGGAGACCTTGCCCACCCGCTTGACAATGGGGAATGGGCCCTCGTACTTCCTTACTAACCCCTTATGAAAGCTCCGTAAAGACTTAAACTGTTAGGGTAGTAACTTCACCATCACTTGGTCTCCCTCTATGTACTCTACTTATC